AATGCTCTAATTGATATAAACAGTAAAAATTTAAAATTATTCAAACCCTTACCAGCTTTTGTAATTTGTTTAAGTATGTGAACAAATGGTTTATCTCAATTAGTTTTTCCTTGAGAATGTCGCATATTAAAGTATCAAGTATCAGGTACCAGACAATTGGTATTTCCTTGTTTAAGTAACTTGAGCATGCATACAAACAATTTTAATAATAAATAGAAATTGTTTACTTTTCATTCCTAAGAAAAATACAAAGAATTCAACTAAGTATTAATTGTGTTGTTAAGGGTTTCAAATTAAACATACACAAACACACACGCACACCCCCACACACATATGCATTTTTTAAAATAGTTTTTTAAATTTATTTCAAACAATACAAATCAATCTTAGAAATAGAATACAGTTGTTTTTCCTTGACATGAATTCAAAGCATTTTAATTAGTAATTAAAATGCTTTGAATTCATGTCAAGGAAAAACAACTTTACATAGATTGTACGATTGATGAAAACAAAAAAGAAATCAGTCGTAACATAAAATAAATAACCCCGTTCAACCAAAACACACTACAACCCCCTCCCCACCATGCGACACACACACCACCCGACCACACTTCCACATATATACCACACACTGTTCCTAGCCTCCTTAGAATACCCCATCTGTGTTGGTCATAATGATTGAATAATGATATATTCCTAATAGATCTAGATAATAATATACATTCTCAGATCATATTGCATAATAATTTGCGAGTGTTTGTTTTCCGTGACTGCTAAAGCATGTGTGTGCTACTATGCTAATCACTAATATAGCACATCGACACGGTTTTTATCCTGGGGGCTCACAGTAACGAAACCATTGCTTAGCCATTGAATCATGACTGTACGCAGCGTGGGAGCAGTGGGGGCTAGGGTACGTCGCCGCCCTCACAAATACAAAAAACAAAGAAAATGCAATAAATTATAAACAACTCATTGCATTTTGCCCCGACTCCCAACATAAAAAAAAATCTTCTGTGTGGGCATGCCTTGAAGCATAATGCATGCCCCTACAGGGGATTTTTTCCTGTTGGGGACCGGAGGAAATGCAATGAATTATTGATAATGTATTGCATTTTTGTTTGTATTGGTGGGGGCGGCGACGTATCCTAGCCCCCGCTGCGTACAAACATGTAAACATAGATAATCAGTAAAATACATATATATTTCTTTTGAATGCATTTTTAACACAATACTTATTTTCTTCTTCACTCCTCCTTGATATATTGAATAAATATGGATCTTTTTTTTTTCGTCAACTATATCTAGGCCGAGTTTTCAACAGAACTATGAAATCCATCTTTAACAAAAATGAACTGTACATTTCGACATCCCTGTCTTGGGAGCTTGATATAAGCTAATAAATATTGCCTCCTCTTCAAGACTAGCATACATTAAAAGGTTTGATCTGACTTACACCGTGGACATACTACGCTTATATACTGTTCGCTGCTTTACTAGAGGTATAGACTTATATTTATAGATAAATGCCATTAAGAAACTTAAGAAAGACGGGCAGTAAAATAGATATATATTTCTCTTGATTGCATTTTTAACACAATACATCTTCTCTTCTTCACTCCTCTTTGATACATTAAATAAATATGGAATTTGTTTTTCGTCAACTATATCTAGGCCGAGTTTTCAACAGAAATATGAAATCCATCGTTAATAAAAATGAACTGTACATTTCGACATCCCTGTCTTGGGAGCTTGAAATAAGCTAATAAATATTGTAGTTGATGAAAAAAATGTGTAATTTTTGTATGAAATGCTACTTATAATATTCCTTCTACCGTACTTACCCTCTAACAGGCAACAAATCCTAAGAAAATCCTCAAACCACAAATATATTTATGGTTTTCTTTGAAGGCCCCACTGTGCAACACCCTAAACAGTGATTAACAATAAATTATCCCAACCGTTTTTTCCTTGACGGATAATAACACATAAGAGAGTCTTTTAAAAATCTGTCAACACTTAAATGCCTGGAATGGTATTGGAGTTTTTCAAACCGTTTTTCTTTCAAAATAACACATAAGACAGGCTTTTAAAAATCTGTCAACACTTAAATGTCTGGAATGGTATAAAAAGCCAATTCATTACTTTTTGACGATTAACATTCACCTACAATTCAATTAAAAAGAGGACTTGTCTAAAAAAAAAAAAAAAAAAACTCAAGTGCAGTTTCTTGTTGCGACAGTTTGAATGATGTGATGTATCGGTGATTGTACTTTTTGTTTCTATGGTGTCAAGCTATCACTCCCAGTTACTAATAGCGATATGGATTGAGCTTCATTTTGTCTCACTTTGTGCGGAGAAATATAAGGAATGTTAACGTTAACGTTCTTGGGGGGACAGAGCTTTCTAATTATTTTGACCTTAGCTCTGGAATAGCCTTCCGCAATCTATCAGGAGCGCTGGGTCTTTGTCAACGTTCTTGTATAACGCCTCAATACTTTCCTGTTCCTAGGTACGACATCAGCTCAAGAATAATAATACCTAAACAAACTAATGGAAGATAATTTGAAACACTGATCACGAATATTGAGTTTGTGTGACATCGTAGAGCAAGCGCTGCGAGTGCTTATAAAGCCGGACACCAGCGCTAATGACGAATCCATCATCGTCATCATTAAATCAAATCTTGAGATTGGTACGAGAATCGTGTTGAGAGAGAAAATTGCTATGTTTTTTTCTGAATTGTTTTTCCTGCAGTAGATTGGTCTTTTGAATCAGTGAAATAAAAATAAACGCACAAAAACTTACTGGGCATCATGTTCGATAAAACCACAGCTCCTATTTGCACATAGTGACCTATGTTAACCACATAATATCGGGCCTATCATCAAGGATTTCCTTATCTTTTTATGCTCATTACTCAGCCCCCATACATTTTCTACCACAATTGTTTATAATTCTTAACGTTCAATATAATTTATGTTGCAATATATGCGATACATGTTTTATATATATTTACCAGAACTCATGTATATTTCTAAATAGGCCAATCAAATTGTGTCACATTATCTGGACTTTCCAACACTCAATGGGACATAATCGATGATTCATGACGGTAAGTAAAAATTTGTATTTTTTGTATTTGGCTTGTTTTGTTTAACATTTGTTTTTGCATAAGTTGTCCCTGCGTTAGGATTGTTATGAATAATTCATGTGCTTCAATATATTTCCCGATGCAGAATATATACTGAATGGTGCCCTTCCCTTAGACATTAAGGATATATAGAGCCAGTGGCGAACGCAGGATTTTTTGAAGGGGGGGGGGGTTTTAAAATCGGGTCCAAAATTTCGCAATGACTCAGGACAGGAAAATTTGAAAATCGCGCCGGCCAAAAAGTCGCTCAGTGGGGGGGTAAGCGGACAATTTTTTTTTTTAGGAAGTCCAAAAAAAATCGCTACGACTCAGCCAGCCGAAAAGTCGCTCAGTGGGGGGGGGGGGGGGGGGGGGGGTAAGCGGACACTTTTTTTTTTTTTTTTTAGGGAGTCCAAAAAAAAATCGCAACGACTAAGCCAGTCAAAAAGTCGCTCAGTGGGGGGGGGGGGGGGGGGGGGGGGGGGGGGGGGGGGGGGGGGGGGGGGGGGGGGGGGGGTAAGAGGACACTTTTTTTTTTTTTTTGGTCTCGAAATTTGAAAATTTGACTTTTTGCTCCGTTGGGGGGGGGGTAAGGTCACCTTTCTTAGGTCAGCCATGGGGGTACAATTTTTTTTTTTTTTTTTTTTTTTTTTTTTTTAATAATTAAAAAAAAAAAAAAAAAAAAAAATCCAAAGGGGGGGGGGGGGGGGGGGGGGGGTTTAGGTTTTTTTAGGGGGGTTTACACACATAAAAATACCAAAGGGGGGGGGGTTTAACCCCCCAAACACCCCCCCTGCGTACGCGCCTGTATAGAGCTCAATAAATTGCAGTACATATTGATTCAGCATCTTTCATACGCTGTGAGAATTTTTTTTATACTCGGTGTCTGTGATTTTACCCTTCAAACGTGTGATACTAACTCAATACTGTACGCGTTTTTTGCAACTATATTACCTATAATGTCTGTAGGCAAACCAAAAATGCAATATTGTCAGAACTGCTTGCTTAATAACCGACATACTAGGCCTTTAGTATTTGCAAGCCCAAAACTTGACTATCAAATTTATTTAATATTAGCAAGAGACACTATTTTATGGCTGTCACTTAATGAATCCTGAAACTATTATTACCATTAATGTTATCATAATTTTCATCATCATCATCACTATTATTAAAGCTTTAACTATACCTCTTTTTTGAAAGGGTGTTAGCAAAGAGCCTGAAACTACCATAATTTAATTGTTTGCAGAAAAAAAAGAGAGAATATAAGTCACTTAAAGGGAACCAAAACCTTCATACTAAGTTACTTTTATTGTAAAGTTTAAGATATTTGAAAAATATCAGTGAAAATTTGAACAAAATCGGGCAAGGAATAAGGAAGTTAGAGCTTTTTGAAATGACTAGTCGCTAGAGGGCGGTATTCAATTTGATGACATCATCTGTGGACAACTCTCCATGCCTTTTGTACATTAAATTTCATGTTTTTCCTTCTTTCTTGTGATTGAGATAATATACTCCCCTGAAAGTAAGATATAGAATGCAAAATGATATTCTACTTCACATTTTATGAAGTCGGATCAAGAACACAAATAAATACGAAGAAAACGAAAAAAATTGTGAAATTTTATGTACAAAAGGCATGAAGAGTTGTCCACAGATGATGTCATCAAATTGAATACCGCCCTCAAGTGACTAGTCATTTCAAAAAGCTCTAACTTCCTTATTCCTTGCCCGATTTTGTTCAAATTTTCTCTCTCTCTCTCTGTCTTGTGCGTCAGCAACACACGGCACTGAAATTACCCGCATCAAATGCAAACCGGATCTATTTTATGCTAAGTACCCTTACATTTCCATCCATGCTTAGATCCTGAGACTAAATTGACAGAAAAGACACATTATCTGGATTTTCCAACACTCAATTGGACCATGGACCTACTAGTCCCTACTAGTCGATGATTCATGACGGTAAGTAAATATTTGTATTTTTTGTTTTGTATTTGTCTTGTTTTGTTTAACATTTGTTTTTGCATAAGTTGTCCCTGCGTTAGGATTGTTATGAATAATTCATTTGCTTCAATATATTTCCCGATGCAGAATATATACTGAATGGTGCCCTTCCCTTAGACCTTAAGGATATATAGAGCTCAATACATTTTTAGTACATATTGATTTAGCATCTTTCATACGCTGTGAGAAAAAAATTATATACTCGGTGTCTGCGATTTCATCCTTCAAACGTGTGATACTAACTCAATACTGTACGCGTTTTTTGCAACTATATTACCTATAATGTCTTTAGGCAAAGCAAAAATGCAATATTTCTAGAACTGCTTGCTTAATAACCGACATACTAGGCCTTTAGTATTTGCAAGCCCAAAACTTGATTTATTTGATATTAGCAAGAGACACTATTTTATGGCTGTCACTTAATCAATCCTGAAATTATTATTACCATTAATGTTATCATAATTGTCATCATCATCATCATCACTATTATTAAAGCTTTAACTATACCTCTTTTTTGAACGGGTGTTAGCAAAGAGCCTGAAACTATCATAATTTCTCAAACTATTGTTTGTTTGAAGAAAAAAAAGAGATAGTATAATTCACTTAACCAAGGACCCCAAATCTGTCACGGAGTGGTCATTTTTACGACTTAAAGGCATCGTTTAACAATGTTAAATCTAAGATGCACGGCCCTACGTCATGTACGTGTAATGAAAAAGAAACGGACTAGCATGCTTCCAAGATCGTGGGGCATATATAATTCCTTGTTACCACTAGTATGTTTCCTTATGAAAAATGTTAGGCCTACCAAGATTGACAAATTCGTCGAGTTTTTTTTACGGAGTATTTTGTGAGGCAAAGGAAGGAGTTCAAATGTGTCAAGTATCAATAAAATTGGGTTATAAACAATAATTATATTTTCATGCGAGAGTTTAACAAGTCATACAAAACGCCTGAAAAATGAATGTAAAACGATGATGTTTGAGTTCAATCTGACGTTAATTGCAGCTTGCCCAAAGCTTAGGCTTTACCTGAAACTGAAACTTTACAATGATGCGTTATTTTTCGCAAGAAATACTGCCATTGGACGACTTCAACATTTTAAGTATTTACTTATTTTTATTTGTGTATTTATTCATTTAAATCGGTTTGTTGATAAGAAACCATTGGCGGCCAGAGGGCCAAATTGCATAATATTTTACAATCATAAATGACAGATATAATGTAAACAGATTCATCAGATAATAAATTATCAAAGTCACAATAGCAGAATCAACATATTAAGAAAGAATTGTAGCAAATACGAGCTTTGCTAATACGATAAGAAAATCATTCCAAAATACAGTAAATTAAATTCAACCCACAGAGGTAGAGAAAAAATGAGAAGGGGAAAGACTAGAGTGAGCGACAAAAAGAGAGACGGAAAAGATAAATGTAGGTATAAACAGAGAGATACAAAGCAGAGAAATTAGGACAGTGGCAAGAGAGAGTTAAAGAGAAAAAAAATGAAAGAAAGAAAAAAATCGAGTAATAAGAGAGGCATTTAGGGAAATAGAAGCACCAGGAATCTTTATCGTGATAAGCTTTTATTGACGCTCTGGATTATTTAGATATCATGCATCTATAATGCGTTTGCTTACTCTCACGTGTATACCCGAAATATTGCATTTTCATTATGTACATTGACCTGACAATCATCGCGTTCGGTGCTGAATTCCTTCTCTCTCTCTCTTTCTCTCTCTCTCTCTCTCTCTCTTTCTCTCTCTCTCTATATATATCCATAGACGTATTACGTCTATGATATATCTCTCTCTTTCTTGTGCGTTAGCATACACACGACACTGAAATTACCCGCATCAAATGCAAACCGGATCTATTTCAATCATGTTAAGTTCCCTTACATTTCCATCCATGCTTAGATCCTGAGACTAAATTGACAGAAAAGACAATTTTATATAAACTAATGAATATAACATTATAAAAAGACGGATCAGAGCGGAGGTACTACTAGTATTGTAACTTCTATAAGATTAAGGGGAATCCCCGCCATGGTCTATTTATATGCATGACGGATGAAAGGCAGTCAGTACATTCACGGACAGATGGCGAATGTGGCACGCACAGCTCCCTTTGTATGACTCATCACACTGAGCCTTGCTCTAATATAAAATATTTCCTAATTTCCCGGTAAAGAGTCATCTAAAACACAAGATATTATCGTAGCTTTTCTACTCGGAGTAGATTATTGATTCATGTATTCTTTATGAGAGAACATAGGCCTATACCTGAAAGCCCTGGACACCAACTCCTTTCCAGAAGCTACATGTTTACCACATCGCAACACGGAACAGAAAAATACGTATTTTTCAGTTCTGTGCATCACACACATTGGTGATGCGTCGTGAAAGAATCCTCCGCTTTGTTGTCGTTATAGGATATACGTAGTCTACATAACGTAACCTTAGAGCGACATTATAAATTTGATTTGTATAATCATTGGTCCCTTATAAAGAGAACGTTGAAGATACATTATCAGGTTTCATATATGTGTGTATAGATACGAGTAACACATGGATAGATGTCGTTGGATCTGTGTATTATATGAGTAAACGTCCTCCTGTGTCCAAAAAGACGTATGATTAAATCTAGTTTGGAATATACAAAGATACACGTTACAAAGCTCATGTTCACTCCCAATGCATACACAGATTGTATGAGTACAAAGATCAAGACTAGCATACATTAAAGTTTGATCTGGCTTACACCATGGACATACTACGCGTCGGTACACTTTTCGTTGCTTTAATAGAGGTATAGACTGAATTGCACGTGATTAATCTGATTTAAAGTGTTAATCTACATGCCCATGTTTGAGTTTGAGTTTGAGTTTATTGGTTTCACATTTCACATATATTTCAAAAATATAATACAGATAACAAAATATACATAAAAGACATATTGTTTCATAATAGTTCGTTTTTATTTCATTAATAAACGGTACTAGAATGGCGAATTCAAGCCAATTGTGTGCCCGCCAAAGAGAGAACAAAGCGAGCTGGAATAATTCATTTGTCAACAATTGACAACAGTCGCGGAGGAGGGAGGGGAAAAATCGCCCATCATTGCACCCCCTCCCCGCATTACGTCACTGCTGGTCACCATTAAATACCAATATTTGGCTCGCATAATTTCAAATTTTGCCCCCCCCCCCCTAAGAAATCCTGGATCCGCGCCTGGTAATGGCCGCTATTCATGAAGATCGCTATTCATTTTGTCCCGCGTTATGGATAGCGGTCTTTATGAATAATGGTCCTTATGAATAGCGGTCCTTAGGGATAGCGAGCTTGACTCGAATATTAATTTGTGAAAGGTTATTAAAAAAATCTAGAAAGCCTCGCTTGCTGTGGTAGTAGGTCTACCTTTTTTCTTAAAAGAATTGTAATAGGGCGTTCACCAGCTTTACCCTATGAGTCGATCGTGCATTTTTATGAATAAAATGCGGTAATGAAACATTCATATTTGATGACATTTCAGTTTTTTGTATTTTCTTTTTTGTAATTGATACCAGCCTACTTCCAGGAGGATAACATAATGTATTAATTGTACTTCTTTGATTTTAAATGATATATATAAAGAAATTGATATGAACTAGCTCGCCGTTTTGACTTTAAAAACATGGTCTTGCACGTTATGTCCGAGCAAGAAATCATTTGCCTATCTTGTTTTATTTTGTCTTGTTCCTCTTGTGTTATTTGAAACAGTAATTTTTAAGGTGCTCCATTAACTTTGACACCTTTACTTGAATAACAATATCCATAGTGTTTGATGAATAATTTATTTAATAAGTTTTATTTCAGTATAGGGTGGTTCCATTCAAGCCAAAAAAATAATTTGAATGGCCTGTTTTCCAAGGAAGCCTTGCATTATACAGGCACATAAAATAACATCACATTTATTATAAAACAGCACAAATTAACACAAAAGTATGATAATAAAAAAAAAAAAAAATGATTTTCTAAAAAAATACATTACATAATCATGTGAAATAACGACAATAACCAAGGCCTACAGCCCGTTTATTCATTATCTGGAAGAAAACAAAATCTAGCACAACATCAATTGAATACTAGATTTGGGGGAGAAAAAACACCAACTAAATATTAAGAAAGAAAAAACTTATGTGAGATTTAACGAGCCACCCCCCTCCCCCCTCCTAATGAACGGAAACAATGAAGGCAGCTACAATTTAACATGTTTTGTTTTCAATATGATTCAGTCTCGTTCTAAATTGTCTTGTTCTGCATTTAATTATCGATTAGATAATCATGGTCGATGGGCGAATAAAGCTAATTCTACAGAAATTCCCATATAATCTACATGTAGCCCCTGATAATAACGGTCGTATGAGACAAGTAAGGGTTAAAATAAAATGGGCAAGGATTAGAATATTTATACTACTTCATTTTTAGTACCCCCGAAAGTCGCAGAATTGTATAAATTATTGATGTCATTCTTTTGTTTACAAAAATGGAAGTTACTATAACAGAACATCACCGAACCATCTCTCATCTTTGCCCAAACATAACCTTTTGTTTGTTTAATATATCAAGATAATTTTTTTGAGCGATTAAATTGTAAACAACATAATGGAAAATGAATTGAAACTCCTATCTACTTTTGATCTAACTACAATGATGATATTTATTTATTTTTCTAAATTTGTATCTTTTATTTTTAGCTGGGTTGCCTTATCGGTTAAGAAACTGCCATCCGAGCAATACATGAGGGTCCTGCAAATTAAAGAAAAACAAAGCATACACCTTTTTAACAGATTAGAGTAGTAGATATTGCACCCAATATTAATATAAATAATTGTAACACACTCCCTCCCCCACTCTATAATATTTAGGCCTCATAACGACACTGCGCTTAGGTAGCAAAGTCCATGATTTATGGTT